ACTGTGTAGCCCAGGGAACTATAGTCATATGTTGCAATAGCCTATAATGGAGAAGAATCTACAAAGAATATACACATGCAGCAATCCGTTTGCTATATGCCTGAAACTAATATGGCATTGCAAGTCAACTATATTTCAATTTGAAAAACGTCTCTAATTAAAAAAAACAGAACAGCACAGAGCCGCACGGCGAGTTTACACAGGCCCCACTGTGAAGAGACGTTGGACAGTGAAGGGCGGCGTTTAGACTGGACTTCAACGAGGACTCTTCGCGTTAGGGGTGTGGACCCCTTGACCCCAGACTCAGTTCCGGGCTCACGCAGAACAGAGCTCCCCTGTCCTCCGCTCCCCGCCGCTCACCTGCACACGCTGGGCCCTTGGCCGGCATCACTGGAGCAGGCGGCAGGTGCAGCTGCCCGGAGGGTGGGAGGAGGCGGCTGAGCTCAGCCCCGCAGTGAAGCGCCGGTGACCTTGACGTGCCCCATGAGCCTCACACTGCCCACGCCCCCCAGCACGTGGCGGGACGGCTTCTGCTGACTCACAGAGCCCTGCTGGGGCGAGGGGGGCCCCACGGGAGGCAGTGCCGGCACGTGGCGCGTCGTCACCCGGCCGCCTTGGGGGAGGACCAGGGCATCCACCCTGGCAACCCCTGCGCCCCTGCTGCCTTTCCGTTTCGGTCTCTTCACACCCTTGCGGTCGTCCCGTCGACGCTCGTTGCTCGCGTCTGTCCGGCTGGCCGTCTTTTTCCAGCTTGTTTGTGGGGTTCTCTGTGGACTCTGTGGGTGGACGGTTTGCGGTGAGCTGCTGGTGACTAGTCCTTCTGGGGGCTGCCCTTCCTCTGTCTGTGTCTTTCACACCTGTGGGACCTTCCTCTATGGCACGGAGGCGTTGCCATTCCTTTCTTTCACAGGTTTCTACAAGTCACATTTCATCTTCACGCCTGCTAATCTACCAGGACTTGACTGTATGTGGTGAGGTATGGAGCTACACTTGTGTATCTTCTCCATACAGATACCAAGCCCCATTTATTCAATGTCCTCTTGACAAATACTGTTGCCACCTGTTCTCTACTTGTTCAGTTGCAAAATGGTGTCTGACTTTCTGCGACCTCAAGGACTGCAGCACACCAGGCTTCCCTGCCTTCATTATCTCCTGGAGTCTGCTCAAACTCACGTCCGTTGAGTCAGTGATACCATCCACCCATCTCATCCTCTGTCATCCCCTTCTCCTTCCCTCAATCTTTCCCATCATCAGGGTCTTTTCCAATGAGTAGACTCTTCACACCAAGTGGCCAAAGTATTGGAGCTTCAGATTCAGCATCTGTCCTTCCAAAGAATATTTAGGGTTGATTTCCTTTAAGATTGGTTTGATCTCCTTGAGGTCCAAGGAACTCTCAAGGCTCTTCTCCAGCACCACAGTTTGAAAGTGTCAATTCTTCAGCACTCAGCCTTCTTTATGGTCCAGCTCTCACGTCCATACATGACCACTGGAAAAACCATAACTTTGATTGTATGTTCCTTTGTCGGCAAAGTGAGGTCTCTGCTTTTAAAAACACTATCTAGGTTTGACATAGCTATTCTTCCAAGGAGCAAGCATCTTTTAATTTCGTGGCTACAGTCACACTGTCCACTGAGCATGTGTATCTATGTCTGGGGCTTCCCTGCTGGCTCAGATGGTAAAGAATCCGCCTGCAATGTGGGAGACCTGGGTTTGATCCCTGGGTCAGGAAGATCCTGTGGAGGAAGGCTTAGCAACCCACACCAGTATTCTTGCCTAGAGAATCCCATGGACAGAGGAGCCTGGTGGGCTGTAGCCCACGGTGATGCAGAGTTGGCCACAGCTGAGTGACTAATGTTTTCACTTTTATCTTTGTCTGAGTGCGTGTATGCCTGAGTATGTGTATCTGTGTGAGGGTGTCTGAGTGTGTATGTATGTCTGAGAGTGTGTGTGTGTGGATGTGCGCATCTGGTTGAGTGTGTGTGTGACTGTGTCCCTCTGCCTACACGTGTGTGGATGAGTGTGTGTGCCTGTGTTGTGCATGTCTGAGTGACTGTGTGTGTCTGTGAGCGTCTCAGTGAGTTTCTGAGCGAGGTCTTTATCTGAGTGACTCGTGTGTTGGTGTGTGTGTCTGAATGAGTGTGTGAGTGCATACCTGTGCGTACATGTACATGTGTCTATGTGTGTGTCTGTCTTGGTCCTTCCTCCTCACGTCTGACCCATTGCTGCTCTGTGTGTGGAGCAGAGAGGGGACGTCAAAGTGCCCACTTACAGCACGTCTTTTTTTTTTTTTTACAGCACGTCTTGTCAGGAGTGCACAGACCCCCTTAGATGCATGGCTGCATTCACACAGTGTACGCGTCTTGTCAGGAGTGTACACGTCCCCTTAGATGCATGGCTGTGTTCACACAGTGTACGCATCTTGTCAGGAGTGTACACGTCCCCTTAGATGCATGGCTGTATTCACTCAGTGTATGCATCTTGTCAGGAGTGCACACACACCCTTAGATGCATGGTTGTGTTCATGCAGTGTATGCATCTTGTCAGGAGTGCACACGTCCCCTTAGATGCATGGTTGTATTCACACAGTATACGCGTCTTGTCAGGAGTGCACACGTCCCCTTAGATGCATGGTTGTATTCACGCAGTGTATGCGTCTTGTCAGGAGTGCACAGACCCCCTTAGATGCATGGTTGTATTCACGCAGTGTACATGTCTTGTCAGGAGTGTACACGTCCTCTTAGATGCATGGCTGTATTCACACAGTGTACGCGTCTTGTCAGGAGTGTACACGTCCCCTTAGATGCATGGTTGTATTCACACTGTATACGCGCCTTGTCAGGAGTGTACACGTCCCCTTAAATGCATGGCTGTATTCACACAGTGTATGCATCTTGTCAGGAGTGCACACACCCCCTTAGATGCATGGTTGTATTCACGCAGTGTACGCGTCTTGTCAGGAGTGCACACACCCCCTTAGATGCATGGTTGTATTCACGCAGTGTACGCGTCTTGTCAGCAGTGCACACACCCCCTTAGATGCATGGTTGTATTCACACTGTGTACGCGTCTTGTCAGGAGTGCACACACCCCCTTAGATGCATGGTTGTATTCACACTGTGTACACGTCTTGTCAGGAGTGTACACACCCCCTTAGATGCATGGTTGTATTCACACTGTGTACACGTCTTGTCAGGAGTGTACACGTCCCCTTAGATGCATGGTTGTATTCACACAGTGTATGCGTCTTGTCAGGAGTGTACACGTCCCCTTAGATGCATGGCTGTATTCACACAGTGTATGCGTCTTGTCAGGAGTGTACACGTCCCCTTAGATGCATGGCTGTATTCACGCAGTGTATGCGTCTTGTCAGGAGTGTACACGTCCCCTTAGATGCATGGCTGTATTCACACAGTGTATGTGTCTTGTCAGGAGTGTACACGTCCCCTTAAATGCATGGCTGTATTCACACAGTGTATGCATCTTGTCAGGAGTGTACACGTCCCCTTAGATGCATGGCTGTATTCACACAGTGTATGCGTCTTGTCAGGAGTGTACACGTCCCCTTAGATGCATGGCTGTATTCACACAGTGTATGCGTCTTGTCAGGAGTGTACACGTCCCCTTAGATGCATGGCTGTATTCACTCAGTGTATGCGTCTTGTCAGGATTGTACACGTCCCCTTAGATTCATGGTTGTATTCACACAGTGTATGCGTCTTGTCAGGAGTGTACACGTCCCCTTAGATGCATGGTTGTATTCACACAGTGTATGCGTCTTGTCAGGAGTGTACACGTCCCCTTAGATGCATGGTTGTATTCACACAGTGTATGCGTCTTGTCAGGAGTGTACACGTCCCCTTAGATGCATGGCTGTATTCACACAGTGTATGCGTCTTGTCAGGAGTGTACACGTCCCCTTAGATGCATGGCTGTATTCACTCAGTGTATGCGTCTTGTCAGGATTGTACACGTCCCCTTAGATTCATGGTTGTATTCACACAGTGTATGCGTCTTGTCAGGAGTGTACACGTCCCCTTAAATGCATGGCTGTATTCACACAGTGTATGCGTCTTGTCAGGAGTGTACACGTCCCCTTAGATGCATGGCTGTATTCACACAGTGTATGCGTCTTGTCAGGAGTGTACACGTCCCCTTAGATGCATGGTTGTATTCACACAGTGTATGCGTCTTGTCAGGAGTGTACACGTCCCCTTAGATGCATGGCTGTATTCACACAGTGTATGCATCTTGTCAGGAGTGTACACGTCCCCTTAGATTCATGGTTGTATTCACACAGTGTATGCGTCTTGTCAGGAGTGTACACGTCCCCTTAGATGCATGGCTGTATTCACACAGTGTATGCGTCTTGTCAGGAGTGTACACGTCCCCTTAGATGCATGGTTGTATTCACTCAGTGTATGCGTCTTGTCAGGAGTGCACACACCCCCTTAGATGCATGGTTGTATTCACACTGTGTATGCGTCTTGTCAGGAGTGCACACACCCCCTTAGATGCATGGTTGTATTCACACTGTGTACACGTCTTGTCAGGAGTGCACACACCTCCTTAGATGCATGGTTGTATTCACGCAGTGGGCTGGTGCTGAATCTGCGGTTCAGAAGCTGCTCAGGGACACTCTGATCCAGGCCACGTCCTCCCTGGCAGCTAGCGTGTCGCCCTGGCTCTAGCACTGCAAAGCTCCCTCACCCGCCCCCCCCGGGGATGGGCCTGCAAAGCCCGGCCTTCAGCCTGGGCAGCGCGGTGATGACTCTCGAGGGTGAACGAGGGTTGTTCAGCCACATCAACAATAGTGACCTTTATCTGCTCACTGCAGAATTGGCCACGGTTTATGGTCAGGAAGGGATTGGGTGATGGTCTCTGCCAAGTTCCGTGGGGCCCCTGGGCCGTGGGACATAAAGGGCCACTGCCTGAGTGGCCGGCACAGCCTCTTCGCGCCCAGCGAGTGACCTGTCAGCGGCTGTGCATGCAGACCCCAGGAGATGAGGGCCCTGCTCCTGACCCTTGGCCTCGTTGCCTCCCTGCAGGCCCAGGTCGCCCCAGTCTTGGACAGCTCGACTGAGGACGTGAGGCTTGGCTGGAGATGGGACAGCTGGAGGGGTCCCTGGGAGAGACACCAACCCTTGCCCCCGAGGCTGTGGTCAAACTGAGCGAAGGGGGTCTGAGACAAATGGGCCCAGGGTGCCCATGGTCCCCAGGGCCCTGTGGGGCTGGCGCCCACCTGGGGTGGGTCCGGCGAGGGAGCTGGGCACCTGCTGAGGGTGGGAGGTGGGAGATGCACTGCGCTGCAGCCCGGGGCCGCTGAGTGGGGCTGGGGGTGCTCATCCTGAGCCCTGATGGCAGGCAGCTCTCTCCAGGTGTCAGGAAAGTGGTATCTGAAGGCCGTGACCACAGACCAGGACGTTCCCGGGAAGGACCAGGAGTCGGTGCTGGCCATGACCTTCAGCGTCCTGGAGGGGGGCGACCTGGAGGCCAAAGTCACCTCGCAGTGAGAGTCGCATCCCCCCTCCCCGCTGACCCCTTCCCACAGCAGGAGAGTGGTGTCTGGGGGGTGGGCAGGCCACACTGGGGTCCGTCCCAACCACGTGAATGACGCTCAGCCCTGGACAGCTCTGAGGGGTCACTGCCTCACTGGGGACCCCGTGCAGGGACGGGTCCCAGATGGGACCTTGTGAGTGGCGGGGCAGGGCTGGGAGACCCGAGGAGCTGCCGCGTGAGATGCCGAAGGCCCCGCTGGAGCCTGGACTTGGTGGGAGAAGCACCACGCTCCCAGGGCTGCCTCGGACCCGGGCCTGCCGGCGGCTGCCGTGGAGCAGGACACGCGGTGCCCAGGCTGGGCCGGGTTTCCAGGGTGGCCGCACCCAGGCATCAGCTGAGCACGGCCTCTGTGTCCCAGGGCTGATGGTCGGTGCCAGGAGACGAGCCTGTTCCTGGAGAAAACCGACGATCCCGGCAGGTACACGGCCTGTGAGTCCTGGAGCCCCAGGTGGGGGGTGGGAGGTGGATCCCGGCACGTTTCTGGGGGTCACCCTTCAACCAGAGAAGCCCCACTCCTTTCTGACCCCCTTAAGTGCCCGGTGACCCCTCCCACCGGTCAGTCTGCCTGAGAGGTGTGAACGCCTGATGCCACGTCCAGGTGTGACGGACTCGTCCGGAGGGGCTGGCCGGTCCCCGCTCTGGCGGGAGCAGAGCTGGAGCTCCCCCTGTTCTAGCCTCTTTGGACCCCCTGAAACCCCCTGGGACCCACCCACTGGGTGACCACCTCCTGGGCAGGGGCTCTCCCGGGAGCTGGGGGCCCAGGGCCTGGGGGTCAGGGGCCGGGTTGTTCAGGACCGCGTGCCGCCCTCTGCAGACGGAGGCAAGCGTGAGGTGTTCATCTTACCGTTGCGGGTGCGAGACCACTTCATCCTGTACTGTGAGGGCGAGCTGGCTGGGCGGCAGATCCGCATGGCGAGGCTTCTGGGTGAGGGTCCCGCATCCCGGCCCCCGCATCCCGGCCCCCGCAAAGCCGCTCCTGCCCCCTCCCCTGTGCCTTCTGCTCAGGAGAAGCCCCCGAGGAAGCAGCAGGTGCCACGTCACGGCTCGGTCTCCGCAGGGGACGCGGTGGGCGCAGGACGCCGGCAGTGTCCGGGCGGGCCTCGCCGCTCACCAGGCAACTCCTTGAAGCATCACCCTCGGCTCTGCTCCTCGGGGGGCTGCCTTCGGGGGGAGAGCGGTGTCTGCATGGACCCCGAGTGGGAAGGAAATTCCAGCTCCTGGGGCTTCATTATGGGGACAAAGCTCAGGCAGGCATCGGAGCGTTAGGACCTTCCTGCCTGCGGACAGGGGGCCCGAGGGTCACGGAGGGTCCCTGTGGCCAGGAGCAGAGTGAGCGTCAGCCCAGGGGCCGGCGTGGACTCCCTCCCAGGCAGACCTTCCATCCTCGGGGTGTTTGCTGAGGGCACTTCCTGCCCCGCGCAGGCTGGCGTGTGGGCGCCCTGTGCCCCCGACTCCCGGGCGGGTCTGCTTATCCAGCCTGGCTCTCCGCCCGGCCCTGGGCCCATGGGTCCAGCCCCTGGTGGCTGTGTGGCCTCCCCTCCGGCCCGAGGCGGCCCCTCACCTCCCAGGCTGGGACGTGGCCACTCTTGGTTCTGCCCTTCACCCTCCCATCTGCTTTCACCGACAGGAAGAAACCCGGAGAACAGCCCGGAGGCCTTGGTGGAATTCACGGAGTTCGCAAAAGCCCAAAGTTTGAACCTGAAGATCTTCAGGCCCCTGCAGAGTGGTGAGAAGCCCACGGGCCTGCTGCTGGCTGTGCCCGCGGCGGGGCGGTCAGCAGAGCCACAGCTGATGAGGCCAGGCTGCAGTGACGGGGGCTTCGTCCTCGCTGGGGTCACGTGAAGTGCTGGCTGATGGAGGGGCCCTGCGCTAAGGGGTGCCCTGGGGTCTTCTGAAACGTGCTTCCTTTTTCTACAGAAACTTGCTCTCCCGGAGCAAACTAGGGTAAGTGGACAGCTGTAGCGCACACCTGGGGCCTTGGGGGCCCTGGGGCTCTGAGAGATCACCTGGTCAACCCCCCAGGCCTGCTCCCACCTGGGCCAGGCGGGTGGGGTGTCTGCTCCTGGGTTCACCTGGTCCCTGGGCAGCGCCTTCAGACGGGCTCAGAGTCAGTCCTGGGCCGTGGGGAAACCCCTTTGCAGGGGGGAGGCTGTCTGCTTCCTGGCCCCGCCCCCCCGCCCCCGTGTGCTTCCGGCAGGTGTGAAGTCCATCGTCCCCTCCATGCATCACCGTGACTCTGATTCCCAATGAGCTGCTTAGAAGGGTCGGAGCTGGGGTGCCCCACACAGAAAGCTCCGACCCCCGGGTCCCTCACCGGCGGCAGGTGCCTTGGGAGGGTGGCGTTTCAGCAGCGTGCCCGAGGTTACCTGCCCAGGTGTGAGCAGAGTCAGAGCCCAGAACGCTGTCATGTTGCCCTCACTGGCCTGAAGTCATGTCGTCACACCTTCACACGTGGGCTTGGAGGCCTGAAGACCACCTCGTGGAAGGCCCCCCTTTACTTGCCCAGGGCTCCCTGAGGGCCCCATACCCCCGCCGCGTCACTCAGAGCACACTGCCCCTCCCCCTTCCTGGCATCATGACCCGCCCCCTCCTCTGCAGGGCAGCGGGCACCGAGGTGCCACGGCAGCCCCCGGGCAGCACCTTCGGGAGCGTCCACCCTGCAGGACGTGGAAGGAGCCCTGTCCCTGGGGCACGGGCTGCCGCACCCCCTCCCCCCCAGCTCCCCACCCCTCTCCTGGCTCCAAATAAAGTTTCAGCATCCCCGGTGGTGCTGCTTGTCTATGGGGTCCCTCGGAGGGGGCTGAGGTGGGGGGGGGGGCCGAGGTGGGACCCCCCCTGGCCTGGAGGAGGACCCCAGGTCCGTGCCTGGGCAGGTCTGGGAAGGTGAGTTATGGCCCTGGTAACCACACATCACCTTGTTCAGACACCTTTTGGAGGATTTTTGGGGTTTTCTATAAGATTTAAAGAATCTCTGATGGTGTCCACGAGGCAGTGAGCCTCGGAGATGAGAGGCAGGGTTCTGGACGGCCCTGAGCATAGAGGCCTGCCGGGCAGGGCCGGGTCAGGGCTTCGCTGGGGATGGGGTGGCCAGGAGCTGGAGTCGTGGGGCCACTCAGCTGGGGTGAGCGGGCTTTCCTGGGATCCCTGTGGATGGGCTCTTGGAATAACTTCAGGGGCTCCAGGAACAGGGGCTGCCCCAGCTGTCTGGGGCCTGGCCCTGGGCAATCGGGCTGCTGCGCGGGGGCCCTGAGCAGGAGAGCCTGATGGGCAGGTGTGAAGTGTGGGCATGGCCAGCTGCTCGGGAAGGGGAACTGCCCGCGCCCGGCCGCGGCTCCCAGTGGGCAGGATGGCACCGAGCCGACCCACCACACCTGGGCCTGGCTCCCCGGTCTCAGAAGGGAGCTGGGGTCTTACCCAGCGTCTGAGGGTCTCCACGTGGCCGGAAGCCCAGCTCCGTCACCTGCAGTGGGTGCACAGGCACCTCGGGTGCGGGCACTTGGCTTGGCCACACTCGGGCCTCACGGGGGCCGCTCTGCTCTGAAGGGCAGCCTGTGGGCATGGGCTCCCTGACCGTTCATCTGGGGGGAGCCCAGAGGGGGCTGCACTGCAGCCCCTTCCCTGGGGGTCTGCCGGCACCTCTTGTCCGCAGCGCCTCGATGGGATCACCCCAGGGTGGAGCCCAGGAGCTCCGCGGCAGCTTCTTCAAGCCGCGAGGGCGCAGGGTTCCTATCAGAGCTCTGCCCGCTCCCGGTGGCGCACACAGGGCTGGCCTCATGTGAGCAGGGCCCAGGTATCGGGTCCAAGGCCCCTCGTTACCTTCTTCTGGGGCTGGCTGACCTGCAGCACGGGTCCGCTGGTCTGCCCCTGATGGCTCTCCAACACCTTAAATGGCTGTTTTCACGTTTTGTCCAGAGTTAATAATTGCTCGTTGGGGGAAGCGTGGAGCCCTGGGAGCTGCTTGGCCAGGCTGGAAGTGGCTCAGTTCAGTTCATTTCAGTCGCTCAGTCGTGTCCGACTCTTTGTGACCCATGGGCTGCAGCACGCCAGGCCTCCCTGTCCATCACCAACTCCCGGAGTTCACTCAAACTCAGGTCCATTGAGTCGGCGATGCCATCCAACCATCTCACCCTCTGGAAGCGGCTCAGCATTTCCTAAAGGAGCCGCACTTCACAATCCCGACAGAAGGGGGCGCAGTGATGGCCGGCGAGCGCCGCGTGTCACCGCTGATTCACGATGCTCACCCGGGTTCGTGCACAGGGGTGCTGCAATGAGAAAGCAGGACAGCGTCTTAGGTGGGCTTTCCCTAGAGCCAGACCCTGCACGGGGCTCACTCAGCAGGCCCCCTCCCCGCCCGGGCGGGGCGCGGTCGGCTGAGGAGCAGCCCGGCCGTGAAGGAGCCCCGGGGGCCTGTGTCAGGGCTGCCTCTGAGCCTGGAAGGACGGCTCTGGAGGTCCTGGGGGCCCTGACATGACGGCCCCCCTTACACGGCTCAGATAACCTCGTCACCCCACGGTGTGGCCACTGCTCTTCTTCAGTCCAGTTCAGTTCAGTCGCTCAGTCGTGTCCGACTCTTTGTGACCCATGGGCTGCAGCACGCCAGGCCTCCCTGTCCATCACCAACTCCCAGAGTTCACTCAAACTCATGCCCATCAAGTCAGTGATGCCATCCAGCCACCTCATCCTCTGCCGTCCCCTTCTCCTCCTGCCCCCGATCCCTCCCAGCATCAGGGTCTTTTCCAATGAGTCAACTCTTCGCATCAGGTGGCCAAAGTATTGGAGTTTCAGCTTCAGCATCAGTCCTTCCAATGAACACCCAGGACTGATCTCCTTTAGGATGGACTGGTTGGATCTCCTTGCAGTCCAAGGGACGCTCAAGAGTCTTCTCCAACACCACAGTTCAAAAGCATCAATTTTTCGGCACTCAGCTTTCTTTATAGTCCAACACTCACATCCATACATGACTCCTGGAAAAACCATAGCCTTGACCAAACGGACCTTTGTTGGCAAAGTAATGTCTCTGCTTTTTAATAGGCTGTATAGGTTGGTCATAACTTTTCTTTCAAGGAGTAAGTGTCTTTTAATTTCATGGCTGAAATCACCATCTGCAGTGATTTTGGAGCCCAGAAAAATAAAGTCAGCCACTGCTTCCACTGTTTCCCCATCTATTTCCCATGAAGTGATGGGACCGGATGCCATGATCTTAGTTTTCTGAATGTTGAGCTTTAAGCCAACTTTTTCACTCTCCTGTTTCACTTTCATCAAGAGGCTTTTTAGTTCCTCTTCACTTTCTGCCATAAGGGTGGTGTCATCTCCATATCTGAGGTTATTGATATTTCTCCCTGCAATCTTGATTCCAGCTTGTGCTTCTTCCAGCCCAGCGTTTCTCATGATGTTCTCTGCATATAAGTTAAATAAGCAGGGTGACAGTATACGGCCTTGACGTACCCTTTTTCCTATTTGGAACCAGTGTGTTGGTCCAGGCTCAGTTCTAACTGTTGCTTCCTGACCTGCTCTCCTTAGGTGGATGTAAAAACAACAGAATGATCTGTATTCATTTCCAAGATAAACCATCAATATCACAGTAATCCAAGTCTATGCCCCAGCCACTAATGCTGAAGAAGCTGAAGTTGAATGGTCATATGAAGACCTACAAGACCTTCTAGAACTAACACCGAAAAAAGATGTCCTTTTCATCCTAGGGGAAAGGAAAAGGAAAGTGAAGTTGCTCAGTTGTGTCCGACTCTTTGCAATCCCATGGACTGTAGCCTACCGGGCTCCTCTGTCCATGGGATTCTCCAGGAAAGAGTACTGGAGTGGGTTGCCATTTCCTTGTCCAGGGGATCTTCCCAACCCAGGGATCGGACCCTGGCCTCCCATATTGCAGGCAGACGCTTTACCATCTGAGCCACCAGGGAGACAGTTCAT